GTCATTTGGAGAGGTGAGAGGGGTCCTTTCTGGTGTGCGGTGGTGTCTGGGGGGAGGGAAGGGGGGTCCTTGTGTGCGGTGGATCTGGGGTGAGGGAGAGGGGTCCTTGATTTTGTGCGGTGGCATCCGGGGGTGAGAGAGAGGGGGTCCGTCCCTCCGTGCGGTGGCTGGAAATGGGCACGGAGGTGCAGAGTTGCTGGAGCAGAAGAGGGAGGTGATGCTGGCTGGTGTCTGCGGGGCTGGGGAGCTGCTGACTCCGCGCTGGCTGCGGCAGCACCTCTCCCCAAAAAAAAAAAAAAAAAAAAAGGGTGGCGGTGGGGGTTTGCCGTTATTTCCAGAGAGTGGCTGGAAAATTCCTCCCCGAGGCCTTCTCTGGAGAGCGGGACCCTGCCCTGGCGCTGGGAGCTTGGGTGAGGGTTTGCAGAGGGCTGTCATTTGGAGAGGTGAGAGGGGTCCTTTCTGGTATGCGGTGGTGTCTGGGGGGAAGGAGGGGGTTCCTTGTGTGCGGTGGATCTGGGGTGAGGGAGAGGGGTCCTTGATTTTGTGCAGTGGCATCCGGGGGTGAGAGAGAAGGGGTCTGTCCCTCCGCGGGGTGGCTGGAAATGGGCACGGAGGTGCAGAGTTGCTGGAGCAGAAGAGGGAGGTGATGCTGGCTGGTGTCTGCGGGGCTGGGGAGCTGCTGACTCCGCGCTGGCTGCGGCAGCACCTCTCCCCGATGGTGTTAAGCTCGGGCTAAAGGGAAGCAAACCTCAGTCAGTCCCTGTTCTTGCTTTTATCTTGCTTGTTTGAGGTTTTATTCCCGGGAGTGCCAACCTGCTCTTTCTGTCTCTTCCTGCCCAGATATCGATATGCCGGGATTTGCCCAACATCGAGGTGATCACGTTCAGGTGACTGTCAGGCTGTGAAGAGGGCAGGGGAAATCATCTTTCTGGTGGGGCTGCGGCTTGGCCCTTGGTTTCACTGAATTTCACTAAATTTTTAGAGTTGGAAGGGACCATAGAGATCATCTAGTCCAACTCCCCTGGTTTCTTACCACCTTTCTGTGGATGTGTGTCTGAGCTGCCTGGCTCCTCTTGACGGATTTCTCAAGCGGCAGAGATGCAGAAATGATTCTTCTTCTTCCAGCTCCTCTGCACCTTTGCTACTGGAGAAAATAATCCCTGTTTCGAGAACGGTTAAAACCTCTTAGGATTTTTGCTCCCTAAGTCCTGTCTCATAGTTTAAATGGGTTCTTCTGGGCCACCGTGTGGGGCCAGTTTGCAGAATGCTTGTTGAAGCTCTTCTTGGATCTCGCAGAGCTTTTCATTTCCATAAGGCTCCCCCCAGCACACCCATCCTTCACCTGTCCTGGGGATCCCACGGAGCCAGCGCTGTCTGCAAATCTGAGCTTTTTAGCTTGGGAATCTTATGTGGGTTCTCCTGCAGTGAGTCTGAGGAACTGCTGCAGGAAAGGGTGCGAGTGTGATGGGCGTTTGGGGGAAGCAAAGGCTATTTGTCATCTTCAGCCTGCTTTTTTAATTCTATCCTCCGTTTAGAAAGATAGAAACGCTGTCTTTTTGTTCTGTGCAAAGCCATAGGCCCCTGAACTCTCCTTGCTGTGCTGTGCCGGGGTGAAGCTGCTGCAGGAAAGGGGGCTGGAAAGCTGATGGGGCTGCTGTGCTCCCCCCTCAGCAGTACAGAGAGGGAGGGGTGGGCTGGCTGGTCTCTGATCCCTCCCTCTCTCTTCAGCGTGAATGGCATCTCGGACCTCGAGCCGCTGAATCAGTGCCAGAACCTGACCGAACTCTATCTGAGGAAGAACAACATTGCAAGCCTAAATGAGCTCTTCTACCTCAAAAACCTGCCCCGGCTGAGGGTCCTGTGGCTGTCTGAAAATCCCTGTTGTGGGTCCGACCCCCACCGCTACCGAATGACGGTGCTGCGTAACCTGCCCAGCCTGCAGAAGCTCGATAACCAAGGTGAGTGTTTGCAGGTAAACCAACAGCCCCGAGCCGTGGGCAGGGTGAGCTGGAAACCCGTGACGTGTTGGTTCCTCTCCTTAAGGAGGAGGAACCTTCAGCTTTTCCTTGAGTCAGGATCTGGTAGAGGTTGAGCGTCCCCTCTGCGTGATCCACCGCTTCTAAAGCTCTTTTCTCCCTTCCCTTCCCTGCAGTGCCAGAGTTAACACTGAGAGAGCCTCATTATAGCTGAGAGAGTACCACTAATTAGTGTTTCTTTAGAGCTCTCTCCTTTGCTGTGGCAAAACAAAGATTCTGTAATTGGATCTACTGTCATAAAGAAGGAAAAAAAGAAAAAGAGAGGAGCTTTTCTGCCTGGTAGCAGTAATTTGGTGGCTTTTGGAGCCTTCTTCAAGAGAGAAGAAGTGGCAAAGCATGTTTGCATCCCTCCCTGATATCTTTTCTGCTCTGAGAGATTGGTGATGGTGTTCTCCTGCACGGCTTTTACTGCAGGAGGAGGATGAAAGCAAAAGGCCAGTAGAAAGGACAGTTTTTGGAGCAAACCCCTGCGGTGTAGCTCTGCCGCAGCAGTACATGCCTCGTCACAGGAGCTGGGCTGCTGGAGCTCACTGCAGCAGCGTTTTGTCTCGGCTTTTGCAGCTGTGACAGAGGAAGAACTGTCCCAGGCCCTGATTGATGGCGAGGAGATCACGGCCCCACCAGCCAAGAGGAGCGTGGAGAACGGCTGCCCTGAGCCCGCCGGGTCCAGCGCTGCTGAATCCACCGCGGAGACCGAGAGCCAGCTGCTGAGCTTCAGCCTGGAGGAGACAAAGTGAGGGCTTGCTCCTGAGCTGTTGGGCTTTCTGGGCTGAATTCACATGGGGCATGACAAGGACCTTGCCAGCCAGCCCTGATACTCCATAGGCCAGGCCTGCAGCTGGTGCCAATTCCCCTTGTTCCACTTGTGGGTCTGGTTCTGTATGTGCAAAACAGGCTCTTCTGTAGGTGGGGACTTGCTCTCCAGCGTGTCGGCTGCATGTATGGAAAGGGATGGATCCTCTCTGAAGCGTGAGCATGGGGACCTGTCCTCCCAGGTGGGGCTGTGAGCAGACACCTCGTAGTGGCATGCTGCTTTACATTTTATAGCTCCGAGGCTCTTGCTACACCCAGGAATTTTCCTTGGGGTGCTGTGCGTGGATAGACATGCCTTGAGTCCTTCAGCTGGGTGCTTCTTGCATGGTTGCCCACGATTGGAAAGGAGGATTGATTGGCAGAGGAAGGTTCTGCCAGCTGGTCGTAATAACATCTGCTCTTCCTCCCCTTCTTTAGCAAAATTCGAGAGGAGCTTGGTATGAAACCTGTTCCCAGGGATAAATTCTCCTCCTTTTCACCTCGAGAGACTGACTGCAACCGAAAGAAGAGAGTGAGTATCTTTTAAAGACCAAATTGGTTTTCATCGTGTGCAGCTCTGGGCCCCACCATTCCAGAAGGATGTGAAGGTCCTCAAATGCATCCAGAGGAGGGCAACAAAGCTGGTGAAGGGCAGGAGGGCATGTCCTGTGAGGAGCAGCTGGGGTCTTTGGGTTTGTCTAGCTTGGAGAAAAGGAGGCTGGGGGGCGACCTCATTGACCTCTACAGCTTCCTGAGGAGTGGACTTGGAGAGAGAGGTGCTGACCTCCTCTCCCTGGGATTCAGTGACAGGACACGTGGCAATGGTTCAAAGCTGTGCCAGTGGAGGTTCAGATGGACATTAGGAAGCATTTTTTTCCCAAGAGGGTGGTCAGAAACTGGAACAGGCTTCCTACAGAGGTAGTTGATGTCCCAAGCCAGTCAGTGTTCAAGAGGCATTTGGGCAATGCCCTGAATAATACGCGTTAACTTTTGGTCAGCCCTGAAGTGACCAGGCAGTTGGACTAGAGGATCGCTGTAGGGCCCTCCCAACTGAAATTATTCTACTCTATCTTTAAGACATCATGCAACATAAAGAAAACCTGATGGAGTTTGTCTTCTTGATCTGTGCACATGAGCTCGTGTTTCCCTTCCCCAGGGTTGTGCTAAGTCCACGTGGTAGCTGGGCAGCAGCCGAAATGGCCTGGGGGACAGGAGGCTGCCCAACTGAAAGCTTAGGTGGTTCCTCAGACCCCTCCATGGTGTACCCTCAGGGGAACCTCATGGATCTTGGCTGCTCAGCTGGGAATTGCTGTCTGCTGGGCTCACTTCAATGGGCAGGGTGGGATCTAGACCACGTTCTGCCTCAATTTGAACATTAGTTGCCTGCAATCCCCCTTTTCACAGAATCACAGAATCTTCTAGGTTGGAAGGGACCTTAAAGATCATCTTGTCCAACCATCAACCTAACTGACAAAAATAGACACCCACACAACAAACAAGGAGCATCATCACTAAACCATACCTCCCAGCACTACATCAACCTGTCTTTTGAACACCTCCAGGGATGGTGCCTCAACCACCTCCCTGGGCAGCCCATTCCAATGTCTGAGAACCCTTTCAGTGAAAAAATTTTTCCTAATATCCAGCCTGAACCTCCCCTGGTGCAACTTGAGGCCATTTCCTCTTGTCCTGTCGCCTGTGACTTGAGAGAAGAGACCGACCCCCATCTCTCTACACCCTCCTTTCAGGGAGTTGTAGAGAGCAAGAAGGTCTCCCCTCAGCCTCCTCTTCTCCAGGCTGAACACCCCCAGCTCCCTCAGCCTCTCCTCATAAGACTTGTGCTCCAGACCCCTCACCATCTTTGTCGCCCTTCTCTGGACCCGCTCCAGCACCTCAATGTCTTTTTTATGGTAGGGGGCCCAAAACTGGACACAGTACTCAAGGTGAGGCCTCACCAGTGCCCAGTACTCGAGTGTATTGCTTTGCAGCACCATGAGTGGGACCGCAGGCTCTGGGGAAAAGAAAATATTAAACAAGGGGAGGTTGAGGTTGGACATCAGGAAGAAGGTTTTCCCTAGAAGGGCAGTTATTCCGAGAGGCTGAGGAATCTCTCCCTGGAGTTTTTCAAGCCATGGTTTAGCAGAGCCGTGGTCTGGCGTTGGCAGTAAGTCCTGCCTCAGTGGGAGGCTGGGCTGGGGACCTCCAAGGGCTCTTTCCAGCTTGTGCTTTTGCCATTCTACCAGCTTTTGTTCCTTGGATCAGAGGGTTCCTGTCCTTTCCCATCCTACACGTGGTCACGCTGGAGAGAGAGAGGGCGGTTGCTCCTGAATGTGCCTTTCCTTCAGGAGCCAGAGGCGTGTGGGCAGCGTGTGCGGGGACTGGGCGGACGGGTTTGTCCTGCATTCCAGTTAGCCTGATGTCACACAAAGTCTCTGCCCATGTTTGCCCCGAGGGCTTGCTTGATCTGTCCCTCTAGCTGCAGGTGGCTGTTGCAAAACTGGTGCCAGTGGTGGTGGTGGTGGTGGAGTTCCTAGAAAGAAGCGGCTCTTTGATAAATCCACTCTCTTTTTTCCGGGCTGGAGTTAACGTGTTTGTATAAGGCAGTGTCTGTCTCCTCCTGAACAGAACAACGTCCTGAATGCCATCCTGCTCCTCATGAAGGAACTGGACGCGGAGGGTCTGGAGGTCGTCCAGCAGACGGTGGGGAGGAGGCTGCAGGCCTTTGGGAAGAAGGAGCTGCAGGAGGAGTGACGGTGCCCATTTCCAAACCTCCCTGGAGCACCACCTGGCCCCAGCCCCTCAGCCCCGTTCTCCCCACACATGCCTGCCTGCCAAAGCCTCAGCGCTTCCCGCTGCGCCTCCCTTGTGGAGGGGCTGGGCTGGGGGTGCTGCTGGCTGTCCCCGTAGCTCCTGACGTGTCCCCTGGCTGTGTACATCATGCCGGGGGCTGGCAGCACCCCGTCTGGCTCTTGGCAACTTTCATAGCAGGCTCCCTTGGGGTTTGCAGCTGGTGTCACTGGGGCTGTTTGATGGGAGCTGCAGGGCCTTGGGCAAAAAAAAGCAAGAGCTGCCGCTGTGCTGGGCCATGGAAGGGGGGTGGCAAAGCCTGCTGGTGGCTAGAAAGGTCACCGCTTGTCGGTGGCTCCCTGTCAGACTCATCCTTGGCCAGCCTCTCTCTCTCTGTGTGTGTAGCAGACTCTGAAGGCAGTTTCTACCACAAAAGGTTTGTTTTCGTGAAGTCTGTCGGGGAGACGCTGCCTGAAGCCATCACCAAGAACTCTCTGGTGCAGATTTGTCAAGGTCAATGTCAAATTCTTCATTTATCTTCAGCTCCTGACTACTTCTGGTCCTCCTCAGCGCGTGCAGCATCTGACTGGGCGGTCAGGCGGCCCAGAGAAAAGCTCAGTGCAGCCCAGGTGAAAGAGAAGTGATTCTCTCCCAGCTCCTGAGCACTCAGCTGTACTCTCACCCCCTCCACGTGCCCCTGCAGGCATTAGAGCAGCTTAAGGAAACCACGTCAGAGTTAAAAAAAAAGTCCCTGGGCATTTTGCAGTTAGGAGAAGACAAGCCAAGCAATACCGTCCGGTTTGCGCAGGCATCAGGGCTGGCGTTGCTCTTTAACTGAAAAAAGCTGCATTTACTGAGAATTGCTGTTGAATGCAAACGAAAACGTTGTGACATACCAAATAAAACCAGTGATCCCTCTAGGAGGCCTGAGTAGTGGCTTGGGGTTCGGCAAACATAGTGAGAACAACTGACTCTGGGCATTGCTCCATTACGTCTGGTTCACAGCTCACATTGTGGAGAGGGAGGAGGAGGAGGAGGAGGAGGAGGAGGGCTGGGGGCCCCCTGCGCCCTCCCGCTTCACTGGGCAGATGAAATGGCTGGTGGATGCCGCGCTGAGCTGCTGTGGGGCTGCTTTTCAGAGGCACCAGGTCCTGGTTGGGGAACCTTCTTGTGGCTCCAAGTCCACGCCGAGTGCGGGAAGGGTGTCGTGGTTTCAGCCGAAATCACCGCAACCAAACCAACAGATGGCCCTTCCCCCCCCCCCAAAAAGAGGAGAGGAAGAGATAAGGAGATTGAAAAGTTTAGAATTAACTAAACTACTTTAATCAAAAATAATATTAAAATAAAAGAGAAGAAAATAATGAAATAGATACAACATATATACAAAACCTTATCAAGCTCCCAGGATGACAGTCCCGTCACCAGCAGGCACTGGGGAGGTCCCAGACTGGACTGGGTGATGGACAGGAGCAGGATTCCAGCTCTGGAGTCAGGAACACATGGGGATCAAAGGCAGATGAACAGAAAGGGTCCTCTTCGGACGTCGGCCATTGCAGGAAGAGAGTTGACCCTTTGATCCCTCAGCTTTTATACTGAGCATGGGGCAGATGGGATGGAATACCCCTGTTGGTCAGGTTTGGGTCACCTGTCCTGTCCGTTCCTCTCCACAGATGTGACCCCTCTACGTTTTTCCGTTTCCGACCCTCCAAGGGGCAAATAACGAAAATTGGCTGCCCTTGGTTTTTATAGCAATAAGTATAAGCAGGGGCCTCTCTGCACACCATTCCCTGGCATGGAGCACAAACATGGGTCTTATCACTCTGAGAAGGAGCAGTTTTCTCCACAATATGCTGTTAATTTCAGAGAGTTAGAAGAGGCCTAACTAAAATGCAAAGTTACAGAACACAAAATTGATCCGGTTTTACCTCAAACCGGGACATTGGGAAAGACCCGGTGAGCAAAGCTGGTTTGCTCACGCCGAGGTGAAAAACCTGGGTGGGCAGGACGATGGCCCCTGAGACACGGGACATGAGCCCTCGGTGCTGCTCAGTTGCAGCCCCTGGAGCTCCTCAAATGACCTAGTTCTTGCCTCCTGCGTTAACTCCAGCAGCGTTTAAATGGCCAGCATGATTTAAAACACACCAGGCTCCCCGTGACAGCCCCAGAGGCGTAGCTGTCATCTCGTTTGTGTCTCGCCCTTGCGCTGAGGGCAAGTCATCTCCACCGAGCAGCCTGCCTGCTGGGTGGCAGAAGTCACCCCCCGTTTGCGTGGTGGGGCAGAGGGGCGCTGCCGTCGGGGCGTGCCGGCCGCCCGCCCACCAGCTTTGCTGGGAGGAGAACCATCAAAGCCCAGCGTCGGGGTTTGTCATCGGGGCTGGTTTGCGGGGTGAGGGCGGCGTTGATGGAGTAATCGCCGCGGCCCGAGGCTGCTCTGAGGCAGTTCCTCTGCTCATCCTGCACGGATGCTCACTGCCTACGTGCCGCGCTCGTCATCCTTGGCCAGTGCGGGTGCTGCCGCTGCCAGGCTGCTGCTGCTGTGTGGGATCGTGGCCCCTCGCTCTCGGCACAGCCCCCGGGGGGGGGACGCTGGCCCTTTTCATCGAATCATAGAATCATTGAGGTTGGAAGAGACCCTTGGGATCATCGAGTCCAACCATCTCCCCTACTCTACAAAGTCCTCCCCTACACCATGTCCCTCAGCACTGCATCTAAACGGCCCTTAAACACATCCAGGGATGGTGACTCCACCCCCTCCCTGGGCAGCCTGTTCCAGTGTCTGACCACTCTTTTGGTGAAAAATTCCTTCCTAATGTTCAGTCTAAACCTCCCCTGTTGGAGCTTGAAGCCGTTCCCTCTCGTTCTATTGTTAATTACCTGTGAGAAGAGACCAGCCCCAACCTCTCTACAGTGTCCTTTCAAGGAGTTGTAGAGAGTGAAGAGGTCTCCCCTCAGCCTCCTCTTCCTCATACTAAACAGCCCCAACTCCCTCAGCCGCTCTTCATGTGATTTGTTTTCCAGCCCCCTCACCAGCTTCGTTGCCCTCCTCTGCACTCGCTCCAGCACCTCCAGATCTCTCTTGGATTGAGGTGCCCAAAACTGGACACAACACTCCAGGTGTGGCCTCACCAGTGCTGAGTCCAGGGGCACAATCACCTCCCTACTTCTGCTGGTCACACTATTTTTGATACACGCCAGGATGCCATTGGCTTTCTTGCCCCCCTGGGCACACGCTGGCTCATATTCAGCCGTTTGTCAACTCGAACCCCCAGGTCTCTTTCCTCCAGGCAGCTCCAGCCACACTTCCCCCAGCCTGTAGCGCTGCAGGGGGTTGTTGTGGCCCAAGTGCAGGACCTGGCACTTGCCCTTGTTGAAACTCATGCCGTTGATCTTGGCCCAGTGATCCAATCTATCTAGGTCCCTCTGTAGGGCTTCCCTCTCCTCCTGGGAGTCAACACTCCTGCTTAACTTGGTGTCATCTGTGAACTTGCTGATGAGACACCCTGTGTCCTTATCGAGATCATCAATAAAGACGTTAAATAGAAATGGTCCTAGCACTGAGCCCTGAGGCACACCACTAGTGACCGGCCACCAGCTGGATTTGAATCCATTGAGCACCACTCTTTTTGGTCTCACACCTCTTCGCTCCGGGGGCCTGGCAGCCTGCCTTTTGCTGTGAGATGCTTGTGGCTTTGTGCTCTGCCTTCTCTTGGGGAAGCCAGGGCTGGGCTGGATGTGTCGGGGAGCCTGGGTGCACAGTCACCACGTCCCCTCCTGCTCGTCCTGGCAGGGCACAGGGTGGTTGCCCCTGGTGGGGCTGTCTACATCCAGGAATTTGGCACTCTGGGCTTTTATTTTTTTTTTGGATGGAAATGAGGTGTTAAGGCTGCAGTGATGCCTGTCCCCAGGCACCTCCAGATGTGCAGCTGGTCTGAGTGTGGGGACCGTTCTGCCCAGGGTAGTGGTGGAGTTCCCATCCCTGGAGGGATTTATAAGAGGGGCAGATGTGGTGCTGAGGGACATGGGTGCTGAGGGACATGGGTGTTGAGGGACATGGGTGTTGAGGGAGGTGATTCTCCCCATCTGCCCCACTCTGGTGAGAGCCCACCTGGAGCACTGTGTCCAGCTCTGGAGTCCCCTGCACAGGAACGACACGGAGCTGTTGGAGCGGGGCTGGAGGAGGTCCCAGAGATGCTGGGAGGGCTGGAGCCCCTCTGCTGGGAGGGGGGGCTGAGAGAG